CTGAGCACTCTGACCAGATTTCATCCCCTAAACCCCTATAAGAAAATTCTGGCACTGGTGCTGTGGCTGTCACTGTAGGCCCCACTGCCTCTAATGTGGGATCCGGCATGTGGAACAGCTGTGGGAGAGGGACCAGCAGCAGGAATTTAATCCTTTCCTCCTCTCCCCCCTGTGGGGCTGTGTTGGTAGCACACAAGCCAGGCAGCTTCCTGAAGCCCCCCGTTCCACCGGTGCAGCATGAAGTGAGGGTGCTGGATGAGCCCTGGCAGCCGCAGCCTGCGATGACCGTCAGCCGCTCCCAGAGTCCACTGCCCCCTGTGGACTGGAAGACATATACCTCTTCGGGCCGAAAGCTGAGGCCCCCCGCCTCCTCCCCCAGACCCCACAGTGAATGCGGAGCAGGGGCAGGAGTCCTCAGAGAAACAGCATCGTCCCTGAGGTACAGGGGAGGGACAGGGCAGGGCCTCTTTCTCCTTCGATGTCCACATTCTCAGAGGCAACCCCAACCCAAGATAAAGGGAACGGGTCCCTTGGCGGTGCCCCTACCCCAACAAGACCTCAGGTGTTCAGAATCAAAAAAGCACTCGACACCTTTGGGATCATCTAGTTACTTCACATGCCCTCCCATTTCACAGGTGAGGAAGCTGAGGCCCATAAAGGGAACAGGTTTACCCAAGGCCTTTCTACCATTTCATGGCAGAGCAGACACTAAGACTCCCCTGCCAGCCAAGACTGGTGACATGTAGTTGCTGGGTTTCAAGTAACCCAGGGTCCAGACCAGGTTTCTTTCTACTTGCTACACAGGGACTGATGGAGAATAAAGTTTAGCATTATCTGCCATGAGGAATACTCCTGGAGGGAGGGAGGGGGAGTATCTATTTCCTTCAACGTGACGTCTGGCCCCTTTGGAGTTCTGGTTGGGGACAGGCCATCCCTTCCCAGTGCCCAGGGACTGGATTCAGTGACCTCGCCAGCCTTATGATTCTCCTTTTCAGGTGCCAGGAGAAGCCACCTGCTCCATCTCAGAGGCAGCTGCAAGTTGGGGACAGTCCACCCAGCCCCCAATTCTCACCCACCCCTAGGGGCCGAGACCCACAGTACACCTCTTCAGGGAAGAGGGAGGACAGACAGTTGTCTGTCCCCAGGGGAAGGACTCCTACATCTTGGGTTCATGAGGAGACAGACAACTGGGGAACCCATGCCAGGGCCCCCACTCCCCAGAGACTCCGAGCCCCTGAGGCTACTGCCAAAGGGACACCAGCAAGAGGACCATCTCCCCTGCCTCGTTACTCCAGTCCAGCCAAGACCATGGGCCCCAGGAAGCCACCTCAGGGTGAAGCCAAGGATGCTCCCTCCCAGCTCAGGGAGCCAGTTGTCCGTTCCCCATCCCCTGTTAAAGGACCCACCAAGATCCCTGTCCGGATGCCCCCTGCCCGACCTCCCACTCCAGGAAGCTTTCCAGGTACTGCAAGTGGAGGTCCCACAACAGAACTGGAGAGAAGCTCCATCCCACTAAGGGCTGCCATTGGAGTCCTGGCTGGGTCCAGGCATGGGGACTGCTCTGTGGAAGGAAGGCAAGGGGACCAGAAGCTGGACATCTGTGTGACAGCAGAAACTGGAGAGCCCTGTGGCCTGGGTCCACAGGACCAGGAGAAGAGGTGCACTCCCCTGACCCTGGAGGGCACCAAGGAGCCAGTGATCTCCCATAGCCTTGAGGAGCAGCTTCTGGCCAACATGAAGCTGCTGGAGGTGGGGACTGCCCATCCCCGGGGCCCAGGGTCTGGGCTCATCCCTCGCAGTGGAGTCTATGTCCCCAGCCTGGGTGGGCGGTGGCCTGAACCTGGGGGTCCTTATGACAAAGTCATCCAAGAACTGGCTCAAGGTCCCCCACCCCTTATTAAAGTAGACCTGGGAGCCTGGAAGGCTGGCCATACAAGCTCCCCTAAGTTGGCTGTTACCACAAGCCCAGGAAGCCCAAAAGGGGAACTGGGAACCAGAGAGAGTATGCCAAGGACAAAGGCAACCTTGCTTGCCAAGGACACCGGGATGAAGAAGGTCCCAGCTCAAGGAGAGCAGGACTGCTTGGCCCCTACTGTGTTTGCCAGCCTGGAGGCCCCCACATCTTCCCCCTCAGACCCAAATTCTGACAAAGCCAAGGCATGTCCAGGCAAGGGCAGGAGAACCCTGCGGAAGCCCCGGAGAGTGCCCTCTATCTACAAGCTGAAGCTGAGGCCCAGAATCCGGCCCCGGAGAGACCACAGGCCGGAGAAGCAGCCTTCACGAATCCCGAAGCCCCTGGCCTACCTCCGCCTGGGTCCAGCTGGGGCGGCCCCTAGGGGCCGGCTGGAGAGGGCATCAGTGCTGGGTAACAAGGGAGGGGAGGCAGCCCTGGGGGGTGGAGCCTGGGCAGGGGAGGAGGGGGGGAAGGAGGAAGAACCGGCCGCCCCACTGGAGAGCAGACCCCAGCGCTCCGAGGGCCTGGGGCCCCAGCAGCTTGATCAAGTTCCACTCCCGCCTGAGGAGGAGTCCTGGGTCTGAGGAGGGCTGGCTCATCCTGGGCCTGTGAAGAATGCCCTGGGACCCACTGGAATGCCAGCTGCTGGGACAGAAGGAAGGGTCTCTCACCTCAATACAGGGCCTTGGCCAGGAGGCGGCAGGAGACAAATATAGACTCCATCAGCCAGACGAGCAAAGGGGCAACCCATCACTCCCACTCCAACTCCAGAGCTAGGAAAGGGGCAGTGGGGCCACTGTATGTCTTATCATCCTCCCCCAGAACAGCTCCCCAAACTCCTGTCCTCTGGCCATGCCCACTGTTTCCACAACTCTTACAAGTTACTAAACACATGTGTGTCTGTCCTTGAATCTCCAGCTCTTGCATCCCTCTCCCTGGGACAGTGGTGATGCAGGAAAGTGTAGCCTCAAACATTCTCCCACTAGGGGGGAAAGGGACAAGGGGAGGGAGCTGGGGTGAGTTTGGCTCTCTCTCTTGAGGCTCAGCCAACCTTGCCCCCAGACGGCCCACCTCCTGAAGTGGCTGGAGCATCAGCACCAAGGACAGGGACAACAGCCACCCAGCACAGGTTCCTGTGAGACCAAAGTTCTGCTCTGGGGCTTGGGAACTGAGATCACTGGGAGTCAAGAGGGATGGTTGAGGGTGTTAACATATCTACACCCGTGAAGTTAGGCCAGAGGGGTCACAGAGGCTCAGCAGCAAGAGAGACAAAGACACAGAAACAGAAATGGGATTGAGTCCAGTCTCCCTGAGAGAGCGGCAGAGGGAGATGCTATGCTTCCCCTCTGGATGGTTTTGATCAGTGGGAGGGCTCAGAGGTAGGTGGAGAGGAGATGAGTCTCCAACTCTTCCCCTTAGTTCTTCTGGTTGACCTGGGCTTTGGGACTCAGGGCCACCTCACCACCCTCGCCTTCCCTGCCCAGCAGGCTCAGTAGGGAGCCCTTCCCTTCCACTGTCAGAAACTGAGCCAACACCTTGGTACAGAAACGAGGGAAAACACTCCCTGATTTTTAATCTGACTTCCGATCACAGCTCAATGGGCGTCACACACACTTCCAGACCCTGTGGTGGGAAACCCTGGGTGGGGTGGCAGGGAGGACAGAGACTCAGAGTGGGGGTGGAGAAAATAGAAATCGAAGACCTGGGGTGAAGCGGAGGGGGTGAGGTGGGCCAGTCAGGCGATACATTCCAGTGGCTCCCATAGGGGCGGCCAGAGGCCTGGGTCCCCCACCCCCACTTCAGGTGCCTTAGAGCTGGGGGCCATGGTGATGGTGAGACGCTGCCATCCCTTAGTCTGTCCCCTTGGTGACCCAGGGAGCAGGATGCAGGGGATGAAGGGGGCAGCCCTCTTCCTTACCCTCCCAGCCACTCCAAGGTGTGGGGAAGGGGAGCCACCTCCTCTGCTTCAGAGGGAGGCTCAGAGGGCAGGTCACTTGCCCAAAGTCATGTAGCACAGCAGGGACTAGAACCAGGAGTCCGAGGTCAGGGAGGTCACTGTAGGGCTGTGCTACCCCAGTGGGCGGAGGGGGAATCAGCCGGGGGATTCATAGATTCCCTCTCACACTGGATCTGGATGATAAACTCCCCACCCACACCCCCTCCCCCAGACTCCTCTCCATCACCGCTCTGGGCTACCTGATTTCCTGGTCTATACAACGAAGCTGGGCCAGGTCGAGGCTGGGTTGTTCTGTCTGCCCCTCTTCTAACAAGGGACCTTGCTATCCTCCCATCAGGCCAGGGATGAGGGCTCAGCCCCACGGAGAATTTGGCCTGGGGGCAGGGGACATGTACCATTTCGTGCCCTCCAAGTCCCCTGGGAATTCCTCAGGCAGCTCCTGGTATCTTCATTATTTTTGTTATTTCTAAATCGGTACAAAACTGACAGTGATCAGCTCTTGTGAGGAGAGGTAGACACCGGCCAGGCAGCCGGGAAAAGTGGGGCAGAGTGCGTCAGGGCATAGGGCCAACTGGTGTTTGGACAAGAGAGCGATCCTGAGGGCCTCCATCTAGGGGTAGGAATGCAGGCATACCTCCCTCAAGCAGGGGGTCCCCATAATTCTTTTTCTGGCTCTACCCCACCCCAGATTATTCAGGGTAATCTGAGATTCAAGCAGGGAGAGTCTGGGGCATCAGACTAGGGTGGGATGGAAAAACAGAGCCTTCACTGGCACAACCTGGCCTCCCACCCCCCTACCCTGGGAACCAGCCTGCCTACCACAGCTCCCCAAACCCTTCCCCCAATCGAACAGACCACCCAAAGCAGGAAGGAACAGGGGGCTGGAACCTGGCATCATGGAAGAAAATCTATCCTTTGGGGGATTCCCTCTCCACACTCTGTCAAGAAAAAAAGTTTTAACCCAGGGGATGATCTAGCTTTGGGGTCGGGAAGGGGGTGAGGGGCACCCGGCAGGGACGGACCATCAAGTTAAGGCTGGAAGGTAGGTTGTTGTGTCTCTGGGGACTGCTGGGTGGGGAGGTCTCCCCGGACAGGGTAGAGCTCAGCTTTCTCCCCCTGACTAATCTGGGACCTCGACCCTTGGACCGACTGTGGTCCTTGGACCACCGCATCTCTCTGTCCTGCGCAGGTGGTGCTGACGGTCAGAAGGCGGGCCTCGCAAAGAAGCTGCCAGGATCTGGGACAAGGGGATGGACGAAATGAGAGCCCTGTGAACGGGGAAGNCAGAGGGTGGATAAGACAGCAACTGACCAAGAGCCACTTGGGCGGACCGATGGACGTGGGAGGAAGACGCGGGGCAATGACAGACACACCCTCTGGAGAAGACTGGTGGGGGACCGGCTAAGGCAACACCTCCACATCCCCACCGTTTCCTGCGCTCACCCCAATCCCCAAAGGCCGTGGCGCCCCTTGGGGCCAGGCCGGGTACTGCATTAACTACAGCCCTAAAGGAGGCCTTCCCGGGAAGACAGATGCGGGAGCCTGGAGGCCGGCGGTTGCGGGGAGGCTCCCTCTCGCCCTCTGCCTCTCACCGCCAGGTGCGCGGCTGC